GCGATTCACTGCCAGGTGTTAGGACATCCTGCCCCTTTCATCAAGTGGTCAAAGCAGGGCCGGTCTGTCCAAACTGGAGGCAAAATTATCATGAGGTATGTTGTGCATGGAGAGTTTATTAACTATGATTGTAGTTAATGTTTACCAGTGGTGCTTGCGAATTCATTTTGTTCCCAGGTTAAGAAACACAACACTCTACATTTCATCAGTGAGAACGTACGATGAAGGACATTACACATGCGCAGCTTCCAACACACTGGGTCACGATCAGAAAACCATGACTCTTCAGGTTGCTGGTAAATCTCCCTTTGCGAAAATAGCACACTAGCAAAAAGTACCATGGTACTAACATGTTTTTTGAACATGTACCATGGAATTATTTTTATTTATTTATAGAGGATGTATAAATACATTATTGTAATCATGGTTGCTTTTAGAAGTGATCTAACTTGAAAATAGACCATTAACTAATTCACATTTTATGTGGAAATGCAAAGTTGCAATCTATCAAAATTGTGCTGTGTCATAAACATTATACAGTTAATGGGTAATAGTATAAATTATTATATTCATGGGCTAGTTGATGACCTTAATTGTGCCACACGCAGACATCAACATTCACCATGCAAAACATAACAACTGTAACAATCAAATTCATCTGATAATAAGACTCTGAACATTAAAACAGGTTAAGTTTTGTTGTGCTATAATTCTGACAACAAGCACTGGCAATAAAACTGAAAATAGTAAAACAAAGCAATTGCTTAATTCATTCATGCTGCAATGCACTCTGGGAGAGAGTGCTTGTAGCTGGGAATATACTAAGTATATAATATATATAATACGTTTTTGCTAAAGATTTTTGGTAAGACTAGTTTTGAATTATGTAGCTCTACATTCTTGTGTAATAGCAATTTAATCAGCTTAAGTTAGTGGAACATAAAAAAGTGACTAAAATACATTTTCTTTTGTTTTAATAGCTTTTAATTGCCAGTATATCTCAGAAAGGTCAGGTTAACATAACAGATTTTTTTCAGTTAGGCATGATGTTTATTTGCTTGATTTTTAAGGCAAATGGTTTTCTCACTTTTTTAGGTAAAGTCATTTTCTATTTTAGATCTAATTGTATATTTCTTCTTGTTTTCAGTGAAACCTGTCATTGTTTCCTTCGTTGCATCACTCACTGTCTCAGAGGGATCACCTGTTAGTCTCCCTTGTCGAGCTGTTGGAGATTTTCCTGTCAAATACTCTTGGATTAGAACTACGTCGATACAAAATTCACAAGAACAGTCTGGTTCAAACTCTCCGGTCTCACTCCCACAACAGATACACATTGATGGTTTGTTACATATTGAACAGATTGTAGTTTTATCATATGAAGCAGGTTTTCCCTTGTAGGCCATACTTTAAGTTTTTTTTTTTTTCAATAAAA